TAAGATGGCCTAACATGCTCAAGGTCCTGGGTTCGACTCCCAGCACCATAAACATGTGAACAAAAGACAGGTCTAGTGGTCCCCATGTTTAACACTTCTTGGATCCATGGGCATTCCTTGTCTGGTGGTTAATACATGYAGGCTCACCTGTGCCATCTTCATTTCCTGAAGTCGTGATATTTACATATTTAATTTCCTTTTTCACTCAAATGGCAGCGATTCCATTCATTCTAGTCTGCACCTGGCTTTTAAAAATTGTGGGGAGATTTGCACTGCATCGAATTCAGCATTCCAACACTTTAAAGTGTGTGATTGGGACTGTGAGGACAGCGAGGTGCTGTGGAGCTCTCCACCACCCACTGCAGGGTCTTTTAGCATCCAAGCAGGAGCCCTGTGCCTGTTAAACTCTGCTCCCAGCCCTGGGAACTGCTCTGCATTCCGTCTCTACACTGGCCTGTCCGAAGGAGCTCATGTAAGTGGAACCATAAAGTCTTTGCCGCTGTGACTGGCTTATTTAGCTAGTGTTCCTAAGGTGTCACCCATGGTCAAGCGTGTTTCAGAACCTCATTCATTTTCTAGGCTGAGTAATATTCCACTGCATGTGTAGGCTGCATTTGTCACCTGCTGTGGATGGACACGGGGTTGCTCCTTCCTTTGACTGCCACAAGTGCTGCTGCCCTGAGTGTAGGTGGCATGTATCTGAGCCCCACCTGCTATTCCTCTGTGCATGCCCAAGAGGGTTGCAGGGTCACGAGGTGCCTGTGTCACCTCTTGAGGAGCTGCATGCTGTCTTTCCCACAGGCACCTTTTGCACTGCCATAGCAGCGCCTGGCTCCACCTCGTYTTGTGTTTTCAATTTCTGTTTTTTCTTTGCCCTTTTTTGCCTGAAGCTTCTGCCCAATGGCAAAGTGGAGGGAAGGAGAGGGAGAGCGGTGGGGGGCTGCCCCAGAGCACAGACAGGCAGGGCCTGGTCCCAGCAGGCAGAGGGCTGTGCTTGCTCACTCACTGTCACCGCCCAAGCACTTTGGAGAGCCTGTGATTCAGGAACAGGGGGTGAGACAGCTGCGGCCCTGCCGCCCAGCAGTCAGTGTCTAGCTGGGGAGGCCTTCGTGAGCAGGAGCACCTCAGGGTCGGTGGCTGGGCAGGGAGGCTCCCTAAAGAGATGCGTCGGCAGAGGCCAAGTGAGGAGGCTGCTCAGGGCTGGGGGGAGGTCCAGCAGGCCAGCAGGGAGGTCGCAGGAGGATTTGGTCCCACGTGCTCAGGTTCCCAGCCAGGAGGTAGCTGGTGCCCCGCTGTGGGAGTCCATGTAGCAGAGGAGTGCTCGAGGTCATAGGATCAAGACGAGTGGGGGAACAGATAGGGACGGCCACCTCTGTGCGCCTGGAGCCACGGGAGACTGGCAGGTTGGTGACAAAAGCTTAGACATCCCCAGCATGAAGTTGCGAGTTGTGTGGCAGGCAGGAGTGACATGGCTTGCACAAGCATGGAGTCCAGAGGCCAGCTGTGGAGGTGCGTTGATGACATCGCTGTGGCCCCGCTGTGCCTCGGGAGGTGGCATCCCTGCGGGCACCACCTCTTCCCTGGGGTCCTTCTGTTTGTCCTCGTTGGGGCTGGTTAGGTGCCATAAGGCTGAGGCCGGTGGCTTTGCATTCTGGAAGCTCAGGCTGTGCTTGCCCCATCTCCCCCTTCCTCCTTCCCAGGCGCTGTCCACCTGTCCATACCCCTCACCTCACTTAGTCTCTGCCCTTCATGCTGCATCTGGATCTGACTTTTCCTTTTAGTATATTTGTTCTCACTCTTGGTCTAGTTATTGTGATCTGAACAGCACACACGCGTGAAGAACCCAGATATGTACAAGGCTGGTGACAAAATCCAGTTGTTCTCTGATCATTTCTCCTTATTTTCTGCTTTCCAAGAACTTTCAACTCTTTTATCTGAATCTTTTAATATTTGCCCCATAAGTCTAAGTAACAGCTGGACCTGCTGCTCCTGGCTCTGCAGCTGGGCGGGCTCTGTCCTCTGGCCCAGGAGGATGTGGACCCGCCTCCTTCCTCCCCTCCTTCCTCCCCTCCTTCCTCCCCTCCTTCCTCCCCTCCTTCCTCCCCTCCTTCCTCCCCTCCTTCCTCTCCTCCTTCCTCTCTGCACTCCCACACAAACCTCCCAAACACAGGCTGCGCCAGGCCAGGGTGCACCTGTGAGCAGGAGGGAGTATTCCATGCGTCGAGGCCCTGGGTCCTGCTGGGACTTGGCCCATGTCCTTCCTGCACTTCTCTGCCTCGTCCATGGAGCTGGCGCTTCACAGCACCTGGTCTCTKCGAGCTCAGCACGGAGTCTCCTCGCCCTTGGCCACAGCCGCCTCCTCCAGCTGCAGCTCCCTGGAGGTAGCTGGTGCCCCACTGTGGGAGTCCATGTAGCAGAGGGGTGCTCGAGGTCATAGGATCAAGACGAGTGGGGGAACAGCCCTCTCCCTGGAGGACCCTCCACTCCCCTGCACCTGCACTGTTTCTATGCAAGCTTGCCTGCCCCACAGCATGAGCCAGTGTCAGAGCCCCAAACCAGGTCCAGGGCACAGGTACACTCCCCCCCACCCCCCCCGCAGTCTTCTGCCACACCAGGAGGTCCCGGGGCTCCTCCCCATGTTCGGCTTCCTGGCTCCTGGGTCCTGTGTCTCCCTCCTGGGTCCTGGCCTTGTTGGGCGTGGGTGGCCATTCCTCAGGCCTCCKGCGTCTGACACCGTCCCAGTCTGTCTCCATGCTTAGAAGATGGCTGGGCTGGGAGCAGTGGTCAGTCGGGGCCTTTCCCCAGCCTCCTGGGGGCCTGGCCACGCCTGCTGGGCCTGCCTCCTCWGTCTGAGCCTCCTGCGAGGCTGCCAGCCTCACTCTGTCTGGAGCTGCACAGGCCTCTATGTTCTGGGTGCAGGGAACCTCTCGGCACTGCGCCCGTCTGCGTCTGTTGTGCAGAGCCTAGGCCTGGCAGGCTCCCTTCCTCTCCACTCCTGCCCGCCAGCCCCCTTCCCGCTCCCCGCTCTGGGTTTCTGGAATCCTGTCTGATGAGCCTTGGGCTTCTGGCCTGTCCCTGCCTCCTTTCCCTTACTGCTGTTTCCTCCTTCTTCAGTCCTGGTTTCCACACCTTCCATCAAGCTGTGTGTCTCCATGACTGCTCTTTATTTTCTAGATTTTAAAAATACACCATTCCTCTTAAGATCATTTGCTTGTTTAATGAATTCAAGGCCTCAAGGCCACGGATGCCCCTCCCTCCCAGTCTCCTGTCTCTGCTTCGGTGGCCTGTCTGTCCTCACAGTATGTGATGTCTGGGTCCCCCTGCTCATGGTGAGAGCCCTGGGGCCTGGTGGGGCTCACAGTGTTGCTTGGGGTGACTTCTTGGGAGCCTCAGTGTCAGCCTGCCTGGGCGTTTCCCCTGGGGCTGGGCAGAGTCCTCCAGGGCTAGACGCCTGAGGCGGAGAGGGAAAAGGAAGCCGGCCCAATGTCGGTTTCTTCCTCTGGTGCCCCACAGCACCCTGCCTCCTGGCTTTACCCCAGAGAAGGAGGGGGTGGGGACAGGAGGGCTCTGGGGGCTCAGGGCAGAGTTCAGCCCACGCTCCACTGAGCCCAATCACCTCCCCCGCCCCGCCCCAGGAACCCCACCGCCCCCTCCAGGGCTCCTGAGGCTGCTGCTCAGCTGTTTCCTGCTGCCTCTGCTTTCCACCTCCCTCCCTCCCTCCCTTCTCTCTGTCTTCCTGAAACACTTACCTGTGCTCTTGGCCGCAGAGAGGCTCTGTGTCCCTTATCCCCAGGAGGGACCATTCCCATGGGCCTTTTGTGCAGCAAGTTTGTTTCTAAGTCACACCCCCCCCGGGGGGGGGGGATGCCACCATCCCAGGACTCTGTTTCCATGGGAGCCTCTGGCCTAAGTTGGGCCTTTTATATCCCAGCCTTTGTCTTCTCTCTCCTGCATGCCCAGGCCGTGGCCAGCCGAACTCTGGGTCACCTGAGACTGCAGGTGCCCCAGGACAGCCCAAGCCACTACAGAGCTCACTAGAGTCACAGTCCTTGTCTTCTTGGCCTCGAGGGTTCTCCTTAACTCTCCTGCTGGGTTCACATGCATTTAAAAATAGTTTAACAATATGAAAATAATACACATAAAAGCACGGTGCCTGGGAATCCCGCCACAGGGATGCTATGACAGCCGGTCCACCCACTGCTGGGCGCCTGTGCAGTCCATGTTGATCTGCCGCAGCCCTGAGGCAAAGCTCCTTRGTCTCCATTCCACAGCTCAGGCCCACAGACAATGGCCCAGATCAGGTAGCTGAGGAGCTGGGGGCAGAGCTGATGGGAAACCTGAGCTGAAGTGCTTCTGGAGGAGTCCTGCCCCCCTTCGCTGGTCACGCTGAAGCCCAGAGTGGCTAAGGAGCTGGCCCACACCTCTCAAGGGTGCAGCTGTGGGCAGGGCTGCAGGGTCCTGGTCTCCATGCTGGTTGGATCCACTCTCCAGCCCCAGCACAGAACCTGAAGATGTGCCACCACAGGCAGCCGCCGGCCCCTCCTCCCACTGCGCTTCCAGTCTGCAGTTCCTGGTTATGGATGTGGAATGAAGGGGATGGAGCCCAGCTCAGGCTCCTCCTGTGGACTCTCACCCCCGCCTGCAGCYGGCAGATGGACCTGGAGGACTGGTGGCCAGACGGCTCTGTGTTAGTTGGTGTTTCTCCTCTCCAACTCCCTGTGCTCCTGGGAAGGCGACAGAGGGAATTGGGGGCCAGAAATGATTGACAACATGCACCTTCCCGGAGCCYTCTTGCCTTGCAAAATCCTACGCTGTGATACTAATGGCTTTAACTCGTTTCTCCTGTGTTAGACCTGGCAGAGCATCACCCCAGCCAATCTAGTTTCTGTAAAAAGGCKTTGGCATCCCCTAGGTCAGAGCCTGGCCACGGCCTGCACCCATGCGCTGCTTCWCACCAGGGTGCACCTGTGCACAGACTCACACTGCGGTTTTCTTCACAGGTACTGCGACTGCTTCGCCAGCGGGGACTTTTGTAACAATTGCAATTGTAACAACTGTTGCAACAATTTGCGACATGAAATTGAACGCTTTAAAGCCATTAAGGTAAGGCATCTGAAAAACGTGTTTGAAACATTCCCAAAATGATCTGCAGAGATTCCTAATCTCAAGATTGGGAAACCCAGTGTGGGTCTCCTCTGCAGGCGGGTACCTGTKCCCTGGTCCTGGTTTGGGGCTCTGACACTGGCTCATGCTGTGGGGCAGGCAAGCTTGCGTAGAAACAGTGCAGGTGCGGGGGAGTGGAGGGTCCTCCAGGGAGAGGGCTGAGGAGCACCCTGGGCCCTCGCCCGTTTGTAAGTTTAATGCCCTCTGAAGGGCACATGTGACCTCCTGGGGCCCGAACCCCCCCGCTGCAGACGGTGGCCTGGTGTTTATCCCTATCTACAGACTCAGGTAATCAGGGGCACAGGAAGGACACCAGCTCTAGGAGCCACTTCCTGGAGAAATTGAGGTCTAGCCRCTGTGGCCTGGAGACCACCATGAGCCAGTGGAACAAAATGGTACTCCTCAAATAACTTAACTGCCTCTGTGAGCTATGAATAAACCACCTAGAAATACCTTCCTGATTCCATCAGCCAGGTCTGTTGGACAGAAGATAACAAAGACACTCGTCAGCCTCAGGGTAGCCACGTGTAATTTAGAGATAAAGGACACCATCTACAATTAAAATGTAAAAAAAATTTACTTTGAACCTTGGATTTCTCAGGCATTGCTGATAGGAATGTGGATTGGTGCAGCCACTTGGGAAATTGCTGGGCAGTATCTGGTGGAGCTGACCATCTGTATGGCCTGGCCTAGCCGTTTCCTTCAGGGAAATGTGTGTAAATGTCCACCCAAGACTTGCACGAGTATCTCAGGGCAGCCGTACTCAMAAATCCCAGCCTGGAAGCACTCTGACCCTCGAGGTGGACTCGACAGTGGAATCCACACACCGGTGGAAAGGCCAGGGCACAGCTGAGGGCAGCAGCGATGCGTCCAGCTGGGGGCTGCACAGAGAAGCTGGGCATGAGAGGACGAAGCCCTGGTGAAGCCCAGTGCGAGCAGACAGAGCGGTCGAGCCAGGGAGCTTTGTCCTCTGCCAGGATGCAGCAATGGGAACAGGGCAGCCTGCRACCTGGCTGGGTGGGTGCACAGGTGGGTGACAGGCCTGCAACGCCGCACCTGCAGGGATGTGCGCTGCTGTGCTCTCTGGTCGTGACCAWGATGCCTGTATGAAGTCGCACGCTCCAGGGCGGTGCTGTGCRGTGGCCTGGCACTGTGCGGTGGCCCGCCGCTGCCACACCAGGTGCTGGTGCCTGTGTCCGATGCACCCAGGAGGGAGGGCACAAGGACTCCACTGGGACTTCTGTGGTGTCTGAGTGTTTKCGGAGAGCAACAATCACGCTCCTTTGAAAATACAAAGAGCCCAAGGTTGAGACCTGGGCTCTGGAGTGGGCGGGGACGTGGCCTGGCCTCCACACCTGCTGCGTGTTATCTACCTRCCCCTGTCTCCTCTGCTTCATCTGCAAGAAAACAGCGGTGCCAGCATCTCCCTCCTGGTGCCCAGAGGTTCCAGAGAAACCAGAGCTCACGGACCCTGGTCCCTGTGGGGAGGAGCGGGACGTGGCTTCCTGGCCTCTCTGCTGTCTGTGGGCGTGACTGTGAGGGCAGCGGGAGCCTGAAGCCCTCACAGAGGGAGATGCGCCCAGCCAGACCCGAGCCGGGCTRCTGCAGTGGGGTCAGTGCGGGCGCCCAGCGGAGGCTTTCCTGATGGCGTCTCCGTTTCTGTCGTTTCTGTCGTAGGCTTGTCTGGACAGAAATCCTGAAGCGTTCCAACCAAAAATCGGGAAAGGAAAGCTGGGGGATGTCAAGCCACGGCACACCAAGGGCTGCAACTGCAAGCGGTCGGGCTGCCTGAARAACTACTGCGAGTGCTACGAGGTGCGCGGCCGGGGTCCCTGTCCCCAGTGAGGAACACGACGCTCATRTGCAAAGAGAACTCCTGTCCTTTCCTTCCTGGGCCCTCTGGGGGCCTCGCTCTGCATTCACCTGGGTGCCCCTGGGCTGTGTCYGCCCCACGCCCGCCTTGGGCTTTGTCCTCTGTGCCAGCTGCTCCACGTGCTGGAGCACCCAGGGGCTGGCACTTGGTGGGTCCCAGGGAGGCTGTGCCTCCCCCCCTGAGCACAGCAGGGGCCAGGGTGCTCCTGTGGGGCCTCGGGGATCCCCGGCTTCCATTGGTCAGGCGCGCCATCTGGCCTGGCTCTCCCTGGCTCTTAGTTCCCTCAGAGACCAGGACTGGACAGCCGGCCGACAGAGTGAGGCCCAGGCCCAAGCTCAAGAAGAGCACTCCTAATTCTGGAAAACGCTGAAAGATCCAAGTGGGCAGGCCTAGCAGCCCCCAGCTAGGATTCTGAGAACCTGTCAGACGCTGCAGACATGGAGTGGCGCCATCCGGGGACTCCTCCCAGCCAAGTGCCCTCACTGCCCACCACCTTCCCTCCGTTGACCCAGCCCACTCTCCATAGGCTGAGGCCATGCCAGAGAGCGGCCCACAGGCCATGCAGGCAAAGAGGAAGGGAGGGCACCGTCCTTCAGTGTCTGCCTGGTGCAGCCTCGAYGCCCCAACATCCTGCACACCGTGCCCAGGGGTGGGGGAGGCGGCACAGGGGCCTGCTGCAGCTCTGAGCAGCAGGGAGCAGAGGGAGGCCAGGGCTGCAGCAGAGGAGGCTAAAAGCCATGGGGCCAGCTCGGCCTAAGGCTGCATGGGCAGGGAGGTGCGCCTGGAGGACACCCTCCTGAGCCTCACACCCCCAGGAAGGACCAGACTCGGGGTGCACCCAGCAGCAAGCAGGACGGGTCTCCCCTGACCTCAGGCCTGCCCCGGTGGCTTTCTCACCCACTCACTCACCTCTGCACAGGAGCAGGACCTGCCTCATGCCTTCCGTGTGAAGGGGAGGCTGTGGAGCTGGGGTGTCACCGACCAGCCAGACCAGGCTTTGTGCAAAGCCAGAGTCAGATGGAGAGCTGGGCTCGAGGTCACACCTACAGTCCCAGTGTGTAGTCTCAGGAGGCTGAGGCAGGAGGATTGCGAGTGTGAGGCCAGTCTGGGTAACTTAGTGAAGGCCCTGGAAAAGTCAGATGGAGCCCTGCTGGGCTGCAGTGCAGAAAGGAGGGTGAGCCCCCACGGCGGCTGCACCTCGGTGTCCCCAGGCACAGCACCACAGCGCTCACTCCTCCTGGCATCTTTGGGTTTTTGGTATGAAAATTGTGGATTGTGGGCAGGGGATGTGGCTCAAGCGGTAGCGCGCTCGCCTGGCATGCGTGCGGCCCGGGTTCGATCCTCAGCACCACATACAAACAAAGATGTTGTGTCCGCCAAAAACTAAAAAAAAAAATATTAAAAAATCCTCTCTCTCTCTCTCTCCTCTCTCACTCTCTCCTCTCTCACTCTCTCTTTAAAAAAAAAAAAGAAAAAGAAAATTGTGGATTGTACATGATCAAATATAAGCAAAGAATTATTTAAAGTCCAAACAGAATTCGTCAGTTTTTGATAACTTATAGGACAACCTAATTTTATTGAAGCATTTTATGTTCCAGGCCAAGATTATGTGCTCTTCTATTTGCAAATGCATTGGTTGCAAAAACTACGAGGAGAGCCCAGAGCGAAAGACGCTGATGAACCTGCCAAGCTACGTGGAGATGGCGGATCTTGAAGGCAGCCATCATTTGTCACCAACTAAATTTCCAGGACTACCGAGGTTCAGAAAGGAAAGGTGGGTACCCCRGACCCACAGGGTGCTGAGGTTAGTTGGGAGGACAGCAGAAACCCGGGCAGGTGAGCGGGCGTCCGTCTGCAGGGCGGGAGGAAGGGAGGCGCCCACCCTAGAGGCCCACTCGGTTTCCTTGGAGGCCCTGCTGCCAAAACTTCTTGTCCTCCTTGTCCTCGTTAGAGGTGCCCTGTTCTGCACAAGGCAAAAGGCCTGGCCAGGGCCACCAGCAGGGCCACCATCTCCCCTGGCCATGCGCCTGGACAGCAGAGGTGGGGACAGCAGAGGTGGGGACAGCAGAGGTGGGGACAGCAGAGGTGGGGACAGCAGAGGTGGGGACAGCGGAGGCGAGGTGCAGAGCTGCTCTGACCCAGCAGCCCCCTCCCGAGCAGCTGGCTGCTTCCAAAGCCCAGCATGATCCTGGAGGCTTTCAGAGGTGGGCGTGCAGCTCAGTGGGAAGTGACTCCAGGTCTCACAGGGTGTGGAGGGTGAGGCCACAGTGGGCGTGGCGTGGCATGTCCTCCGGGCCACATGCATCCTGTAGCTCCCGATGGCCTATGGRGAGGAGGGCAGGCACCCTGCCAGGCATCGGTGGAGCCACCTTCCTTACACTGGGCTGCCTGGGGTCCTGTTCTGAGAGTCCCGTGTCCCCAAGCCCTGCCCAGCCCTCATGTCCCACAGCGAARCTCAGGAGCCCCTGGGTTGGGTGGTGGACCAAATTCTGAAAAAATTCGGACTCTGTCAGGAGCAGGTGTGGGAGTGAGGCAGATTGGCCTGCCGGTGTTGCTCCTCCCAACTCGCCCTGTGCGTGGCCAGAGGCAGCATGGATTGTAGCAGGGACTCAGGCTGGCATGGCGAGCCACATTCTGCAGAGCAGGAAAGAGTTCAGAGAGCCCCTGCCCTCCTCCTGCAGGCGGCCCTCCTCCTGCATCTCCTGGGAGGTGGTGGAGGCCACCTGCGCCTGCCTGCTGGCTCAGGGCGAGGAGGCGGAGAAGGAGCACTGCTCCGAGTGCCTGGCGGAGCAGATGATCCTGGAGGAATTCGGAAGATGTTTGTCGCAGATTCTCCGCATCGAGTTTAAGTCCAAGGGGTTGAAAATCGAGTCAAGTACCATGTAGTATAGCCAGCCCTGAGTGCATGCATTCTGAGGAAGCTCTGGTTCAGAAAGGTGGTTGGAGGAGCAAGAGGCCAGCCTGAGGCCACACGACCCTAACAAGGCCGAGCTCTTAGCTGGGCGCCGTGGCGCTCGCCTGTCATCCCAGCAGCTTGGGAGGCTGAGGCAGGAGGATCACAGGTTCAAGCCAGCCTCAGCAACTTGGAGAGACCCTGTCTCAGTATGAAGTAAAAAATAAAAAGGGCTGGGAATTAGCTTAGTGGTAGAGCATCCCTGATACCAAAAAATAAATAAAATAAAACCTCACGGAGCTCTGGTGTGCACCAGGCCTGGAGAGTTGCCCGAGGTGCTCAGCAGGGCGCCTTGTTTGAGGAAGACATGGCACAGGAGTCTTCTCTCCAGGGATGGGCTGCCCTGCAGGAAAAACCAGGGTGGTTTTGGGTTTTGTTTGTGTGTTTTGTTTTTCAAATGATTTAGATTTTCCGGAGAGCTGTTACGGTGTGACATACAGTTTCTGAGGAGCCACTGAGCACCTCAGAGCACATCTGCAGTGTGGAGGTCCCCCAAGACTCACAGGGTCACCAGCCTTCCAGGCCACCAGGCCAGGCTAGCAGCAGGAGGGCTGAGTCGCAGGACTTCAAATTGTATTTAGTTTCTCATACATTTCTACTTGAATTGAGGAAAAGCTCTATTATCCCATTAACTTCTCCAGAATTATTGTTATTATTAAATGTAAAACACGGCTAGAGTAATTAGTTTGCAGAAGCCAGCACATAAGATTGGTTATTATATTGACTCTTTGGGTTCTATTATAAACATAAAGATTAATAAAAATTTCCAAAGTCTTCAATTGTCATATTTAACTTAGTAATTGAAAATATATGCATCTAAAACATAGTCTACCTGAGACATAGCCTTGGTCACTTTGAATGCTAGGACACTCCGGTAGGCGCCACATAGTGGCAGTGGAGGAGGCGGGTGGCGGGGCCAGCACAGGCACATCAGTGAGCCTCGAGCAGAGCCTGGTTCTGACCCGGGCCGCCTCCTTTAAGCCCCCTGGGCCTTTTGGGATTGGGGCTCTGGCAGGGACAGACGCAGGCGCCAGGAGCCTCCCCGCCCCACGGCCCCAGTCTAAAGCAGCGAGGTGATTACCCACAACCCGCACCTCGGTCCTCTAGGTCACTCCTAGCACAAGATGCAGCTYTGTCAACAGTTGTTGGTAGAGTGTAGTTTTTATTTGCATTTTTAATTTTTTAAACTATGTTCAGTGTGCRTTGGTTGGGTCTGAGGTGCAGAAACAGAGTTCAGCACAGGGGACTGTCCCAAGGGCTGCAGCTGGCTCTCGGGTGTTTTCCCCAGGAAGTAAAGAAGTCACCTTCTGTGGCTCCTTTGAGAACTGTCACCTCACCCATCTCTTTGCCACCACACCCCCACCAACCCTGGCCCCCTCCCCTTGGCTCCCTCCTTCTGATTCCTAAAAGGAAGGAAGGGTCTGGAAGGGGAGAGGGAGGCCTCTGGACAGTGGGCACTACCAGTCCACCGCCCACCATCTGCCAGAGGCCTGCGGCTGGGGCTGGCAGGAGCAGGGCTGTGCAGGAACCCGGGCTGGGCACCGTCGRGCCAGTGGTGACTCCCCAGGGAGCCAATGTGGTGAGGCAACAAGCAGCCAACAGAGGTGGGTGACACCTACTGGGGACCTGGAGCAGGAAGGGTGTCCTTAACAAGGGGACTCTGGCTCAGAATCCTGGGGGTCCTCAAGGAGTTGGCCAGGCATCGAGGGCCGTGGGCACTGGCCTCCAGCAGGTGAGGCGGGGTAGCAGCTGCAGTGGGTCCTGGCCTGAGGGCTGAGCCAGGAGGCTGGGGGCAGCTCTGGGGTGACAGGCCCCTGCATGGGCGTGGCAAGACACCAGACAGCACAGGCTGCAGCTCYGTGCTGAGAGGGCCAGCCCATGCTGTCCTGGACCAGCAGGGCAGCAGTGGCAGGTGTCCCCAGTAGCTGCTCAAGTTGGAGAGAATGAAATGTGAAGGAGAAGAAATGAGGCCCCACGTCCCTGTCCAGGCCTGGGTGTTGGGAGTGGACACCTGGTTGAAGTGCAGGAGCCTGGAGGTCCAAGGGTGGATGAGGTCCTGGAGCACAGAGCAAGTGGGGGTGGGGAGCAGCTGGGATGGGATGGGCCAGGGGGAGGGGGAGGGCGAGGGCGAGGGCAAGGGCAGTTCTGGAGTCCACAGGCTCGCTCCCGAGCCCACAGCAGCACACTGTGCGGCCCTCCACGCAGGTCCAGGTAGGGTCCATCCTCACATGCGGCCGCCCAAGGCCATCACGTGGGGGAGTCCCCAGGATGAATGCAGCGGTGGTGAGCCACCAGGCCCTGGGGCTCCTCAGTCCCCTCCCACCCACAGGGCTACTAGGGCCTGCGTCCAGGGAAAGGCCCCTCCCCGCCCCCCAGCCTGCACGTTGGTCCTCCGAGGGTTCCTGGCCCTTCCTCTAGACCTGTTTTCTTCCAGGACCTTCTGACAGGCTCCAGCTCTCCCCAGAGGCCCCATCCCGCCTCCCACACACTCTCCCATGTAGGGTCTCTCCCACATGACAATGAGCCAGGCAGGGGCAGAGCTGACACCCCTCACCCCTCACCCCTCTGGCCTGATGTCACCACACAGCACTGACAGCCACCTGTCACCCTCAACCAACCTGGCCTGTCCCTAAATAGCAGCTCTTCAGGACAGGGGTTTGTGGGCTTGTGTTTGGTTCACCTCAGTAACAGACTTGCCTCTGTCATCACGTCTGACTCAGTCCTAGGACATGCAATCGGGGGTGACGCAGAGATGTCTCCACGCGGTGTCTGGGCTCTGGGGTTGCATCTGCTGCGCAGTGTGGGTAAAACAGAGACCAAAGCCCGCAAGAACCAGACGAGTGCAGTTGCTATTTTTTATTTTGTCGCTCAGAACAATTACCTAAACCAAATCATCTTAAATGATAGCAGCACAGCACAGAAGCGGAGCACAGAGAGGGTCACTCTGCACAAAAGGGCAGAGTTTCCTCGTCTTCGAGGGTGACGCGCCTCAGGACTGCTCTGTGTCTTCTGAGGAGACCTCCGGAGGGAGGCCGGCCAGGCTGTGGAGGGCTCCGGCCTCTGGAAAGGGAAGAAACACGCTCAGGCAGCGGGCAAGAGAGAACCGGCCTTGGCACCCGGCAGGCAGGGCAGGAAGCCCTCTGTCTCCCACTCTTAACGCCCGTGCTCAGAATGCATCTGAAACTGTCCGGCTCTTAATTCAGGCTATAAAGAAGTATAATTCCTATCGGGTAATGGAAATCGATGTCTCCTAACAAAGGACTTTCCAGGTTACAAAATTAAAAGCAAAACAAACAGGAACAACGACATGCAGACCCCGCCTGCTCCCCAAGTCCCCTGGGCCCTACAGCGGAGCTGGCTGATGGCTTGGAGCCTGCAAACGCCACACACCACTGAGTCCTCCTCCGCACCCTCCCTGTGCCTGGATGGTGCTAGGGAATGAGCAGCAGCCTAAATCCCCCAGCCCCAACTTCCCCCTCTCCCCAGGCCTGCCGGAAGTCCTTCAGCCAAACAGGGCGCAGCGRGAGCCCCCACACTGCATCCACAGCAGAACAACTGCAGAAGTCAGCCACCAAACGTCTCTGTKGGAGAGACAAGTGGTCCATCCTCGTCCCCCACCAGGTCCCACGCTGGCCTCCCTGTGTTAGTGCTCAGAGCCTCGGGCCTCYTCCGGGGCTCCTCCCACCACTGCAGTGTGTTCTGACCGGTGACTGTCCCATTAAGGCCAGACAGGGTCAAGAGCCTTTTCTCTGAGATCTGAATATGACCCTAGACGGCCTCTAGAGCACCTGGCTTGAGGCTTGCTATTGCTCTAAGGACAGGTCAGTTGTCACCATGTCAAAGACTATGATGGATCCAGTGGAGCAAACTAAACCCAAAGGCCCCTCTCTTCCAGGTAGYAATGTTGGTCTGGTGACGCTTTGAGGGGCAGTGTTGTGACTGTGCTGCAGTCCTAGCATCAGTGTCTTGTCCCTGTAACCCTAATACACACCAGGAAAGGGCTTTGCATAAATGTASGAGACCCTTTCTCTTTTTCCTTTCCTTTTTTTTTTTTTTTTTGGTGGTGCTGGGGCTGAACCCCGGGCCTTGTGAATGCAGGCAGGCACTCTACCAACGGAGCTAYAACCCAGCCCTCCTTTTTCTTTTTAAAATGGTCTCCCTGTGTTGCCCAGGCTGACTTCAAGCTCCTGGGTTCAAGTGATTCTCTGCCTCAGCTCCCAGTAGCAGGGAGACCACAACACCTGGCGAGTGGAGCCCTTTCTTGATYGACTTTGTGTGTCGGGTGCTCTGAGAGAGAGCATGTGTGTGCGTGGCTGGAGATGGAACCCGGGGCCTTGCGCATGCCAGGAAGGTGCTCCACCACCCAGCCACACCCCCAGCMAAAAATGGCATTTTAAAATTGTGACATTTCTAGGCTGGGGATGTGGCTCAAGCGGTAGCGTGCTCRCCTGGCATGTGTGGGGCGCTGGGTTCMATCCTCAGCACCACATAAAAAWAAAATAAAGATGTTGTGTCCACTTAAAACTAAAAAATAAATATTAAAAAATTCTCTCTCTCTAAAAAATTGTGATATTTCACATACCTTTGAGATGCAAGAAAGTCAGAAACTCAATTAGAGTGCGCACTATATTGCTCTCAGGCAGCGACCTGTCAAGGCTTCCTAGAAAACAGAAAGGGTCATCTGTACCCTCTGTCACCCATTGTTAGGGATCTGGGCACCGCAAGGGCAGTGAGCAACCCAGGGCTAGAGGGCACCCCTGTGCTTTCTCTGGAGCCATGGAGGGGCTGGGCCTAGAGACCCCTCAGCTCAGCCCCCTGGTCCCTGCAGCTGCTCCTGACCGCACTCTGTGCCCCTGGGAGGGGGGGCGTGGGGGGGCGCTCCTCTCACCTGGCTTTGCTTCCTCCTCGGGCTGGAGCTCCCGCTTCCCAGCCAGGCCGTGCTTGTCACTAAGGGATCTGTGAGTGTCGATGGCATCTGCTTGCAGAGGAGAGAGCACTGACCGCTCACCGATCATGCCCTCCCCCCAAAAGGACAGCCAGACTGAAAGTAAGGCAAAGTGTGGAAACGCAGAAGAGGGAGGCCTGGTGACAGGGGCCATCTGCCCACTCTCATGCAGGGGCTACCCAAAAGAAGGGGGCATGCAACWAGCCGGCCACGCAGGACAGCCTGGTGCACAGCCCGGTACCTTCCATGAGGACAACAAAAGACCTCTCTGGCGGCGTGTGGAGATGAGTGGAGCTAGAGAGAGGAAGGCRGCAGGGAGGGAGGAGGGTGTTGGGGCTGACATGGGGGACTGCGATGGCAAGAAGAGTGCTTCCGATGCTGTCAGGAGTCCAGGAGAGAAGCTCCCTGGAGCTGAGCCAGTGGGAGGGGTGCGCAGAGGGGCTGGGTGTGGCTGTTCAGGAGGGGACGGGGTCCTGGCTACACAACCAGGTGGGCTGTGSGGCCGCAGGGCGAGTTGAGGGGAGACTGATTCACTGTCCTGGAGGCAGGGTTCCTGGCACTGAGCTACAGAGGCCTGACCCGGAGGTGTCCTCRCAGCAGTCCAACCCAGCCGAGGCCCTGAGCTCTGACACAGGGYTTGCCAGGCTGCCTCTCCTAAGCTGGCCTTAGCACTGGTGAGCCCCAGAGGTCATGAGGTACCCAGGAAACAGCTCAGGTCTGGGGCTGCCCTCCTGGGAGTGGGAGAGGGTCTCCGTGGAACTAAGGAGCTGGCTAAGCTGATGGGGGGCTCAGTCCCCTCACAGTGTCATGTAAATGTCCTCCTTTTATGTGGCCCAAACTGGACATCCATGTATTAAAATGAYCACCGGCTAGCAGGTTCCAGGGAGCGGGATTAACCGACCACCCCATAGCCCGAGGGCTGTCCCTCACTTACGCGGGCCCAGGAGGTAGCCGGCGCTGTTCAGGGTCCAGCCTCTCTTCTCCTTTGCCTTAACCGGGAGAAAGGAGGGTCAGGGGGGCTGGACCGCGGAGCTAAGGTGACAGGGCGCCGCGGGGCTCTCCAGGCCAATGGAACAAAGGCTGGGAGCCCTTTGTCTGACGCTGACCCAGGGCGACTCGGCCTCCTGGGCTCCCAGCCGGCGCTGTGGCGCTCATCTCAGCTGAGCCCGCGCTGTCCGGGAAGCGGGGCCGCCGCGCGCCCACCCAGAGCGCGCACCGGGCGCCCACYCAGCGCGCTCCGCTCACCTGCGCAGCTGCGGGTCCCTTCTGCTGGGACGCGCACCTCCAGGCGGGCGGGCAGGGGACGCACCAACCTCCACCCCGGGCTGGAGCTGATGCGGTTGCYCCTTCCCGCCCGGGGGGCCCTGTCCCCTGCACTTACCGGCGGCCCGAGCCCCAGCGTGGCCGGCAGCGCGGCGGCGAGCAGGAGCGCGGCGAGCAGCAGGGCGCTGCCTCTGGCCATCTGCAGSGGGGCGAAGCGGGGCAGATTGGCGCACGTCGGGGCGGGGACGCGGGGCCCGAGCGGACCGAGCGCGGGTACCTTGAGCGGCGGAGGGTCGGGAAGGGCGGCGGGGCGGTCCGGCAGCGCTCCCAGGCGGCGGGGTCGGTCCGGGCGTCGCGTGGCCGGGGCTGGGCGCGGGCTGGCGCTCACCGCATGGCGCGTCCGGCTCCCCGACGTGATGCAGTCCGAGCCCCGCCGCTATTTATGCCGCGCGAGCGGGAGCCGCAGCCACCGCGTCACCGCCCAGCGCCGCCCCCGCCCCCCGGGGAGCCGCGGGGACCGCAGGGACCGCAGTGACCGGAACTCCGCTGCTCTCAGTGCTGTGAGCCCGCACCACAAGAGGGGGTGGAAGAGCCCCTTTGTCCGCAGGAACGAACCCCTGAATYCGTGGGAGCCACCCCCAGACACGCGGCCGGTCGCGGTGGCTGAGCCCGCCCCTGGCGTCCCACCTCGGCCCCGCTGTCCCTGCCCCACATCCTAGGACCCCGGACTCTGGCTGCAGCCTCCCAGCCTCCCTTGGGAGAGACCTCCAGAGGACTGGGGACTGCTGGGGCGACCCCTCTGCCCAAGCTTGGCCCATCTGCACTGTACCTGGGGTGCTGTGAAGCACGCAGGGCCTGTTCCCGCTCTGTCCCCACCCCGATGGCCGGGAGCGCAAGGTCTGTCCCCCTAAATGCAAGCCCACTGTTCTGCTAACAGTGCTGCCTGGACACCTGGGGCTTCGGTAGGCCCTTCCTGTGGCAGGGCACCACYGGCCTGGACAGCCCATCGCCCTGTAGAGCAGCCACTGCTGGTTCTGGGTCCATTTGAAAGATCCGAGGGTTTAGTGGTGCTTGAGAACCTGTGGAGCCAAGAGCGGAGGCTCAGACTTCCAGGCCCCTGGTGCCGTGGGCCTAGCAGCAGGAAGAAGCCTCAGGAACAAGCCCTGCCTCTCTCCCACAGAAACTTCCTGAGTGGGGGCTCGGGGACCACGGGGCCACAGGGAAGCCCGGCTGTCCTCCCCATTCAGACTCCAGGAGAGTCGGGTGCCACCTCAGGTGTCTAGAGACGGGGACACACGCAAACACGCCCCACACTCCCCTGGGCTGGCTGGATACCCCCCACCACTGGGGGCAAGGGGACRCCCTCTCCCACACCAGGTCGAATTTCAGAGTGGTCACCTGGAAACCCACGGTCACTGGGTTACAAGACAAATGGTAATGGTGACGAGGCCGTTCACCAGTGCCTCCCACTTTCTGGTCTCAAGAACCTTGTGACCATGGCTGGGGCACCCCCTGGCGAGACCCGCCGGCCTCCACATGGGTGAAAAAGGACGTTGTGTGCCCCAGGATCTGGTCAAGGCACAGGGCTCAAAGGCACAGGGCTCTGGCCTGGGGTGCCAAGTGCCCACTCTGGGCCATGCTGGTTGGCGAGGGGCTCGGGTGGGGGCAGGATGACCTCGAGGTGTGCCGTGACTCCCAGTCCTCTTCCCACAGCCTGGGGCAGCAGGGGAGGGGCCAGGCCTTGGCCTCCACCCACAGGCTGGGTCTGAAGCCACATTAACCCCACAGTGGCTTCCTGCCAGGGAGGGAAGAGGAAGTGAGGGTGTGGCCCTGGCAGTGGAGGGCAGAGGGGCAGCTGAGATGTGGACGGACGACAGGGTGGCCCTGTGACCTGATTGAAGGGGTGTTGGGAGCTGGCAGGGGCTCGGGCCACAGGTATCCCCCTSTACTTGATGGTGAGTCCTGCTGTCCCTCTGTCCTGGTGTCCCAGAGCTCAGGACACCGTCCTTCTGTCAGGTCCCTCTTCCAGGCTGCCAGATCTTGAGGACACATTTTTATCAGATTCCCTTGAACAGGAGGCTCTGAGCTGTCTGGAAAGGCCGAGGTTCTAAGCCTGTCCTCGGGGTGGGCCCTGTCCAGCTCTCCTCGGCTTCCCTGGCTTTTCTCCCAGGGCCGAGCTCAGAGCTCAGGGCCTTGCGTGCCGGGCAGGTGCCKTCCCTGGGCTGAGTCCCGGCCCTGCGCTGCCTTCCTTCAGGAGTTGGACTCTTTCTGTTTCCTTTTTGCTTTAAAAGAAACCCTGGGGTCTGTCTGGTGAGCGCCTTCCTGTTAGCAAGACGCGTGGCTCCTGAGCCAACGTCGCTAAGAAGAGAGGGAGAGCATTGACAAGAAGAGCCAAAGCGGGGTGCGGTGGTGGCRCAGCTTCTCAGAGGCTGAGTCAGGAAGGTCGCATGAGCCCCGAGTGGGGGGCTGGCCCCAAGTGGGGGGCTGGCTTTGTATAGAGAGAACCTGTCTTAAGAAYAAGTAAGTGACTGACCAGTAAGGACCACCCTCAGCCACCTGTCCCCCGTTTCTCATGGAAAGTCCTMTGCGGTCCTAGGCAGATCCTCTCTCGTCCCCAGAAGCCACTTCAAGGCCCGGGCTGCGCCGCCAGGCAGCATGATCAGGACAGACTGCCCAGGCCACCTCCTCCTGCCTGCCAGCCTCTCCCACTACCTGGGGTGGCAGCTCGGTCCCCAGGCCTCCCTGGGTGGTGGGGGATTCTGGGCAGATCGGGAAGGTGGCCGGGAGCTGGCTGCCAGGCCCGARCGCAGTGGGCACAGACTCGAGGCGGAGCTGGGAGGCGAGCTGGGACCCCACGGAGGGCAGATCCGCTCGGGCGAGCGAGGACAGCACTTCTGGGATGACAGCTCCCGGCGCAGGGTTCTAATGGGCTCCTCGCTCCGCAGTGACCCGACGGGAGCCATTGTCAACCTGTCATCTTCAAGACAGCCCAGTGTGTGGCAGACAAAATGGGTCACCATTAGTGTAATGGGATTCGAGCAGAAAGCCTGGGCCCCCGCCCTGCCAGCTGGATCAGCCTCCCCCAGACGCCTGCTCACCACCACTAGAAAAACAGTCTGCCTCTGACGGCCAGAAAGAGCACGGGCCGCAAGGGTGCCTGGCTGTGTCTCCACATGGGAGGGCACCCYCGCATGACCCTAGCCCTGGGTGAAAGCAGCCGCAGAAACCCCAATATGCACCAATTATACGAACGTCCACCTGTTATCATCAGAAGGTGGTACATGGGGTCAGGAAGCTGGGCCTGCCGGGGGAGCAGCAGTGGGCAGTTGAAGAGTAGAGCCCTACACATTCCAAGTTGAGGGGGTCACGTGGTGGGCCTCTTTTTGGTCCTTCTCCTTTCCTTCTTCCTGCTTCCTGGAATGTGGATATGAAGGCTGGAGGTCAAGCAACTGTTTTGGACCTCAAGGTGATGGCTTCAGATGACAGACAGCAAGACCAAGAAAGCCAGGTCTTGGGTAACCCTGAGCCCAGGTCCCTGGGCTGCTGACCTCCAGGCTTATTCCCTGACAGAGGAACGCTCTTCCCTTTTAGGTCAGCCAGTGTCAGCTGGGCTTTCCTCTCATGCACATAATAATAGGTATGCTGACCAGCGCCTCACACAAATCCCTCCACAAATCTTCTCTGAACCAGTGAGTGACACAGGCCAACACTGGTGTCACCCCCAGTGCTGGTAAGGAGCTGGCCTGGGGAAGATGGGCTCATCAAGGGTGAGGCCTGCGGGGGACGTGACAAATGTGCACCACCTGCCGGTTGCACTGACGTCATCACTACTGGGAAAGGGAGGGAGGCTGGCTGAGCTAATCCTGCCCCCCCCCCCCCGGACCCCGGCCTTCCCTTCCCATAGTCTCCAGCTCACCCCACTGCACCCAGCCTCACTCCGGGAACACAGTGGTCACAGATAAAAGCCCCCGGAACTACCCCTAGAGACTGGCACTTGTGACTGAAGTTCAAGTCACGTAACTGTCCGTCCGTGTTTCTGCAYGTGTATTCCATGGCTCACTGTGACCTGGGTAGATGGGTTCACAGAAATGCCTGCCTCGATAAGTTGCTTAGGGCCTCACTGAGTTACTGAGGCTGGCTTTGAACTCGCCATCCTCCTGCCGCTGGGATTACAGGCTGCACCACCGCACCTGGCTGGACTGGGTACTTTTATGGAGGGGCTAAGGTTGTAGGAACTGGGGTTTGGGATGCAAGCTGAGAAGAGGGGGGTGGGGACCGCGAGGTCCAGAGGGTTGGGGATGGTTGGCAAGAGAACCCCACCTTTCCTGCAAGCCGCTCTGGGGAAGAAGTCCCCTCACTTAGCTCTGCATAGTCTTGCTGTCTGGGGACAGCCGCGGCCACACAGGAGGCTCTGAAATGGGGTCTTCCACTGTGGACTGCAATGTGCTCAGCTGGGCTGTGAGGCTGGAGAGGAGGGCAGATGGGAGGCCCAGGTGGGCTCTGCCTCAGGGAGGCCCTAGAGGCCACCTGCTTCATGGTGGCCAGTCTTTGTAAAATCTGAAAGCAGGGCCATGACCAGGATCAGCTGACCTGTCTCTTCCACACCTCCCCGGGTCTCCCTGGCAAAGAGGCTGTGGGTACTGGCCTTCAAGGGAAAGCCCAGCTGGGCCTTGGTTTAGGTCAGCGGGTGCACTCTGTGGGTACATGTCTCATGTGTATAGGTGAGTGGCCACAGCCATCCCAGCATACACCCAGTCTCCATCCTGACCCTGAAATAGGCCAGAGGCCACAGAGCTGGGGTACAGAGCCTCTCCCSGAAGCCGTAGCCTCCCAGGGAGATGGGCTCAGGCAGAAGGAAGGCATCTCCCAAAGGTGCTTGGTCTGTTTGGGACTAGCAGACACTCCCCACGACGCTGTGGTCACTGGGCCTCACTTTAGGCCCCTCCTGGACACAGCTGCAGGGTGCTCAGCTCTTCTCCTGAGCCGGTGGGAGCTCAGGAGACAGCCCCTTGCAAGTCCTGGGCTCCCTGGCTCCAGCCATCCTTGCCTTACACRGCGGTGCCCCCCTCCCCAGCCCCAGCCCCCTCCACCCCCCTCAGCAAGCCACCCCAGCCCAGCGCCTGCTACCCTTGGGCTCTGGGGCAGGGAAACCACTACCCCCAGGGCCGTGCCCACAGAGGACCCTCCCCACATGCTCCA